ATTTGTAGATATTACCAGCAGTTAACTTTCCCTTCATCACAGTTAGTGCACCCTTAACAATTCTAATAGTTTCCCTATTCTCATTTGACTTATGAATAAAACCATTTATATGTAAATTACCTATGGAAATCAAATTCTTTTTTCAGATTTGGAATATGCTTCATCACAGTTAGTGCACCCTTAACAATTCTAATAGTTTCCCTATTCTCATTTGACTTATGAATAAAACCATTTATATGTAAATTACCTATGGAAATCAAATTCTTTTTTCAGATTTGGAATATGTCTGACATCATATAATATTTTAACAGTGTCATTATACATCTGAATTATGACTTCACCAATAACAACAATATTGCAGCATCTATCATCACCTAAATAGACTGAGTCAGGATTAGTTAACTTGTATAAAGTAAACCACTCCCTATTAGATGTTATGTGATAAGAGCGTCATGTATCAATAATCCATGCATCCCTGAACTGAGTTGATGAAACTGAAAGCATATCGTCATCACTTCAATCTGAATTGTCACTCTGCACCACATTTATAAACTTCGTAAACTTCGACGATGCATCATCACGTTTCTCATCAGTCTGCTTCTTCAGATTTGGACAATCTCTCTTCATATAACCCGACTCCTTGCACTTTTAGCAATGAAATGTTTTTTTGTCTTTAGACTTTGATCTGGAGTTTAGTCTTCCAGAACCCTCATTCTCTTTCTTCCTTCCACGATCCTGATTACCCTTAACATATAAACTGTCGCCATGAGTGTTTTCTCTTGAATTCTGCTTCCGTTGGTTTTGAGCTAACAAGTTGTAGTAATCTCATCAACTTTGATAGTTTCTTTCTCATATGTCAAAGTAGTCACCAAGTGTTCATAAGAAGAAGGCAATGAACACAACAAAATCATTGTTCGGTCTTCTTTCTCAATACTCACATCAAGCCGTGATAAATCTGTGATTATTTGATTGATGTCATTAACATGTTGCGCCAGATCAAAACCTTCTTGCATCTTCAGCCCATACAGCTTTTGTTTCAGATACAATTTATTCGTCAGAGAATTATACATAAATTGAGTTTTCAATTTCTTTTATACCTCTCCTGGAGATTTCAGACTCACCACGTGATACATAACCTCATCTGCCAAACATTAACGTATGGTTGCTGTCACTCGTTGCAATTCTTCCCAATCTTCATCCTTCATGGCATCTGGTTTCGTTACCCACAAAGCCTTTAAGATTCTCTGTTGCGCTAACAGATTTTTTACCCTTGTTTGCCACAATCTGAAGTTACCAGCTCCATTGAACTTCACCACCTCGAATTTCGCACCAGAAATTATCATCTGAAAACTAATCCTGCAACAAATTCTTCTACAAATTCCTTCATGATCTTTCCCCTGTTCCTTGCCTTTTTCGCGTCCTGAAAATTCTCTGCGTCCACCGAGAATTTCCTCTTTCGCAGCAAGAATTTCTCTTCTTGATTCGCGATTCACAGAAGAATCCCTTGGGAGCCAATGCTTGTGTCGAACTACTTCCTGAATCCTTTACTGAAATGGCTCACAGAGCCGCCACACGATATTTAGCCTATCGCGGAAGAAGAAGCAAGCGCTGAATTCCACTGCAACACAGTCCGAACTGTCGCGAACCCTTGCTGAAGCCTTTCGTCAAATTCGTCGAGAGCCCTCGTCGTCGAAGGACCCCTTCGCAAACTCCTGTAATTCGTCGAACTTTGCTCGCAAACCGTCCTGCGATACTGTGTCGAACGCCTCTATTTGCCTCCTAAAGCTTCTCCGCCTCCTGTCGCGATCCAAGCCACAGAAGCAGTGCCAAATTCGCCGAGACCCGTCGCTGAACTTCTCGAAACCCGTCGCCGAACCCAAGTCGCAGGCTGAACAACTCGCGAAAATCGAAGCTCTTCGTCTGTTCTCGCACCTAATCGTCGAACTCCTTAAGCGCCACCATCAAATCTTCTTCTTACATCAAAATTTTTCTTCACTGTCCTACAACCTCGCTCTAATACCACTTGTTGAGAAAATTAGGGCGAAGAAAAACAGGAATCGACGAATCGACACAAAAATCGACACAAATCCAGAAGAACACAAAGATTTAACGAGGTTTGGCAAAGATGCCTACGTCCTCGGGAGTAGAGCGGTGGATTCCTTTCAATTTCAGAAAAGAGTACAGAATAGAATATGAGATACTCCCTAGGGTTATAAGCAAGCATATATATATAGCCATGGAGTAAACTTTGAAGTACAATATGTAATTACAAAATTACTCATGTACCGTACCATGGGGCGTTGCCCCCGCACACCCAACCCACGTAACGAAACTCCCCCGATTGGACAGATTATTCTGCTCCGCTCCGCTTCATTCCAACATCTGTCCCTTATATGATATATGAGTCAACCATAACAAATCTCCACCTTGAATAACACTCTCAAAAGCTTTCATAGCCTTCTCCACTCGCCTGCACCACTCGTGCCGAGAACCTTTGCTTGAGCAAAACTCCCCACTGCTCACCAGTTCCTTCTCCCTGCTGTAAGATCACAAACAATCCACTTCAACCAAAAGCAAGTATGCAGTTTTGTATAAATAAATATATGTGCGGAGTATGAATCAATTAAAAGCTTTTTGTAGGAATTAAAATTTATATTCTTACAATTTTGCGAAGTGACATGCTCGATTCTAGATTCCGTAGAGTTTGAAGTTGTCATTTTGCTGTTTGGTGAGAAGAGTTTGAGAATAAATTTTGTTTAACATGTATGTGTGTGCATATGTATATGGATTTATTACAGGGAGGGAGGTTGAGCTTGTATTGAGAGATTTGTACAAGTTCACTGCTTCACCATCGTTGATTAGCATATATGTATAAAATGTGATATTTCTCAACTCCTAAAGTCGGTTGTATCGTGTTTGATGTGATGGGTGGAACTCGTATACTCACGGTGGAAGAGCAGCAACGGGTTTGTAAGCTGCTAGCCGTGGGTCTATCTACGATTAGGGCTGTAAAAAAAGCTCGTTGCTCACGAATAGCTCATGTTCAACACGTTAAGTCGCTCGTGTTCGGCTCGTTTGTTTGTTAAGTAAACGAGCCGAACACGAATAATTTTTTTAAGCTCGAATTATAAACGAGCCGAGCACGAAAAACTTTGTTTGTTCGTGTTTGGCTCGTTTTAGCTTGAAATAAAAAAAAAATCATATAATTATGTATATAATAATATATTTTATATATTATTTATATCTAAGTTTAAATCATAGCAGCTCGTGTGGTAAATAGATTTAGTTCAGGATTGAATCCAATACTCTACATCTATTTTTTTAGTTAATTTTAACGAACCAATTTTGAGCCAAACACAAACACACTGTTCACGAGTCAATTTCAAACACGAGCAATTTTGAACGAGCCGAACACGAACCATGCCTGAGGTCGCTCGAGCTCGGCTCATTTACAGCCCTATCTACGAGTAGGAGAGTGGCGATATGGTTAGAGATGGGTGTTGTAGCGGAAATATGAGAATATCAAGAAAAACTGAATGAGAGGGAGATCTTTGTGATGCATGAATGGGAGAGAGAGGAGACGAAGCATGTCATTGCCCTTGATTTGCATCAATCATCTTCATTTCACACACGAATGATTTTTGTATTTCTTATACATTCAGAACCCAAACAGTAAGAGAGCAGTCTATTTTGCGATCGGAAGGCATCTAAGCAACATCGACGGTTGTCAAGATCTTGGTCCAATAGGCTGAGTTGAAGTCATACCGTAATGAGCTGGGTCTAATAAGCTAGACTTAATAGACTATTACATGTGTTGTTAGAATCCAATAGGCTTATTTGAAATTATGCCATAATGAGTTGACCTAATAGAATACGCAAAATAGTAGAGATCGCATCTTGTTTTTGTGGAGATCATCATCAATATTATTGTTTTTACCCTTAAAGTTATCTAGGAAATGAGAATTAAGAATCAATATGCGTGAATCAGATTCTGAATGAACACAAACATTTAGATTTGCATCATGTGAGCTTAAAAAATTCATGTCCCGGACTCCCTTGAAACATGAGAGTTTTATAGTGGGTTATTGGTCAAATTTTAAGAAGGCATATCAGAATTGTAGATAATACACTATCCAAAGTTTTTATCCTCATTTTGCGAACATTTTTTTTTTCTTATTTGGGTTTCGCGTGAGTTATGGTGTGGGAGATGAGCAAAGCTAGTGATAAAATTTGAGGTATTTTGTGTGAGGTGCTGCCTTAGGTAGTGGGTCTAGGATCGAGGTCGAAGAGGAGATGAAGATCAACAGTGTGAAAGTAAGAAGGACAGCGAGAGGAGCAATGTTGTTCGGTTTTGAAGCTGCTAGCAGTGGGTCAATCTTCGAATAGGAGAGTGGTGATAGGGTTAGAGATGTGTGTTGTAGCGGAAAGATTAGAATTGCAAGAAAGAACGAATGAGAAGGCAGATCTCTGTGATGCATGAATGGGAGAGAGGAGACAAAGCTTGTCAATTCCCTCGATTTGCATCAATCATCTTTGTTTCATACACAAATTATTTTGTATTCGTATTCATGCAACACATAAACAGTAAGAGTGCAAAGTCAATTTTGCGATCGGAAGGCATCTAAGCGACATGAGGTTGAGGTCGCTTGTGGAGAGTTTAACACATCACATGGTAGTCCTGAAGATCAATGATTTTGTTGTGGAATTTTGTGCAAAAATACAAATCCTGAGGACTAGCAATGAGACCATAATCCCTAATTCTCACAAGAAATACCATATCTTTTTTATGATGCAAATCATTATTACATGTAAGGTGGTCATATTGTGAACCTCAAATGTTTTTTTGCATTTTAGTATTACTGGTCATTTCTCTTGAGCTAACTTCAATGGCTTAATAAGGATTTCCCATTTGAATGGAGGATCTTTACTCCATGCCTTCTTTTAAGCGCTTAAGACTAAAATTGTGTTTATCTAACCACCTCAATTTTTTTCCTTGATAGGAACAACAAAGATTAAACACCTTGATGACAACATTGATGCACTACTGGTGAGGCTCACAGAGGAAGACATGGAAGACATTTCTAGTGCTGTGTCCATTGATGAGGTGGCGGGTGATAGGATCTATGGGCATTTAGTCCCACATTCTTGGAAATTTGCCGATACACCTATGAAGGAAAACAATTTATCTGCCTGAACAGTTGGATTGTTTATCAGTTGTGATTTACTTTTCTCTTGATCCTCTAGGTTTACTTCTTTTTTCTGTTTATGATTAAGATCAGCTACCTTACCAATTGTCTAAGGGCTTTTGTGTAGCTTCTTCATTTCAAGTCATTAATATGACCATATTTGACACATACAGAATGCATAATAAATAGCTGGAGATAGGGTGGGCAGTGATTGAGTCAAGACAGCTTGTAGCCAGCTCAGTCATGACTTTACTAATAGCTCATGAGCTGAGCTTGATGATCTAAGAAGTCAAATTTGAGGTAGCTCTAGCTTAACTTTGCAGATTGTGAGGATGTTTTAAAAGTATTACAATTGTAAGATTCAAGTAAATGATTTTAAAAACTTCAAAAATTACTTGCTCTGATATGCCAAAAAAAAACTTCATTATTTTTTAAATCATTTTATTACTCGAATTGCTTGGATTGGATTCATCTTCTTGTTCATAACAAACACGTTAGTTTGTGAGTGAGCTCCAGCTTCTCAATTTCAATTGATTATTCAAATTGAAGCTCAACACATAAAATTGAATGCATTCATCATCTAGAGTTTTGTTACTGCAATCACTGAGAAGTTGCCATTCTATCTTTCCAGTTTTAATTAAAATGTGATGCTGATCTTTTTTCGTTTTCTTTTTGGATGAATTTATGAAATCAATTTTTTTTTTATTATTGGAGTTGAGCTCTCAAATCTTTTGGATCAATCTTAAGGAAAACTATCAAAGCAGATAGGTGGAGTCAGCTGATTTGAATGAACAAATAAAGGCAGCTTCATTCGTTCAGAGTGTCGCAGACTCACAATCCCTTAGGTCCGTGTTAGGATGTAAAATAAAATGAGGTAAATTTGTTCAATTTATTTATGGAAGATTTACTTACCACTCAATTCCTATGTATTTACACATCTACCTATTAACCTTCAATTTTTACAGTTATGTCATCTTACCCATACATGTAAAAATGTATTTCAATTTTTTAAAGTTGAAAGTGCTAATTTTGATGTGATATGAAAGATTTGGGTGGTATAAATATAAAAAGTAAAAGGTTAGGTGTTGAATATGTAAAAGGTTGGGTGGAATGGGGTGGACCCCCCTTTATTTATTTATTTTGCTAGGTGTTGAATATGTAAATACATAGGAATGGGGTGGACCCCCCTTTATTTATTTATTTTGAATATTTAAAATTGGGAAATTTACATACATACCACACAATTCATATGTATTTACTTAGCTAACATATAAAGTTTGATATTTACGCTTAACAACATTTCGGTGTCATAAGCCTATGCATTGAAAGATGTATTTTACTTTTAAAAAGATAGCAAAGGTGATATTTTGTATGTGATGTTAAAGATTTGAGTCTTAAGCATGTAAATATGAATAATGTTTACTTATTGAATCTCTTAATAATTAAGAATTGCTTATCGCATGATCCGCACCTTTTCTGTGGCGCAGCTACTCATGGGTAAATCTACTGAAAGCTGCTTTTTCTACTGCCCTCTTTTGTTTTGTGGGAATTTATTACTACTTTCTTCTCCAGTTAAATTTTAATACAGTGAAGAATTCTTTTGTTTTTTACATTCTATCTTGTATTCTTTTCATGCTAACGGTTCTCTTTTTCCATTCCCTTGACTTCTACTTTATTTCTTTATGTGTTATTGTTCGTAGGTGGGGTTGTGTTATGCATGCACGCTTAGCCTTTTAGCCAAACTTTGGAGCTGATTAACCTTTACAGATCTGAAGATACCACATCTTATTGGCTGTCAAATATTTCTCAATCCAAGAGCCAAGAATTCATCATGCATCTTGGATCCATTGAACTAGAAAGGACTGCTGCTGCCATCATCACTTTAGTGTTAGGAAAACGAAAGTATGTGATTTCAAACTTGTTTCAAATTTATGCTAAATACATTTCATGGATGAATTTGAGTTTTAAGTAATTAAAGCTCATTTTCGGTAAATGTTGAACATCAATATGCATTTTTTGTATTTTTTATGTTGGATATGTTGTGCCGTCAAGTTGGAATACTCTAATCCTTCATTTTCTTTCACTTTTATTGCGTTATATGGGTTGTCAATTTCAAAAATTTATATGATGTTTGCAGACATAATAGCAGTTACGGACTAAATAGTAGAAACTGGTGGGGGTAACTTATCAAGGGAAATTATTGTTGATGTCCTGAGCATTTATATACCACTGAATTCTTATCAATCTACATACCATAACAACAAGTAGTAGTCTTTATTCCACTAAGTGGGTTCTATTTACAAATAAAAAATCAAAATTTTTGCATTTATTTGCCTAACACCTTAACCTGTGGATCGCATCAAAAATATCATTACCATCAACTTATTTGATGAAATACATATTTTTCATGCAAATCTTTGATTTGATATAAAAGCTTGGAATTTTGGAAAAAGGGGGGGAGAATTAAGAGTTGGAGTTCCAAGAGAGGAAGGAGCATACTGCTTTTGGCGGTCTGATTGTGAAAGGAAAGGGAATAAAGAAGAAAGGAAAAGGGAAGTCAGAGCAGTCTTTCTTAGCAGGCAAATAGTAATGTGTTGTACTCTTAACGCTGCAGGCCTCCTCTACTTTCCAAAAGCCAACCAAGGATGCCTCGTCTCTTTAGCTGTGAGCCCTTCTTCTCTCCCTCCTGCATTTTGACTACTCTTTGCATGAATATTCACAAGCAACTTAGTTTCACCTTTCATACAAGTTGTAGGATGCGCACATGGATTCCTCCACATGTTTTTGTCATATATATATATGTA